CAGCAATTGGGCTGTTTTGACCCAGCGGTTGGGTTAAATGTTTAACCCAACCTTCTGGGTAGTAACCCAACCGCTGGGTCAAAACGAGTTGTTGGAATTGTAGGATGGATTTCTTCATCGTACTCAATGCTGTTGTTATTTTCACCAAAGGAAAGCATGAACTTTGTAATTTTGGAGCAATATTATGCATACTTGTTTTTTTCATATGGGGGTCTAAATGTTGCTGTACCAATAAATATGACTCCTTGCTCAATGTGTGTTATTATATATTTTTGGTCACATAGGTTTACTTGTATTTCTTATTTTAGGATTAGCTTTAGGACTGATCCTGGCAACAGTTACCAGCATAAAGACAAGTTCAGATGTGCTCATAGCATGTAATGCGGCTCCTGGCATCACACTCGGCGCTATTTTAACTTCATCCAATCAAAAGAAGGACAGGACTACTCTCTACATTCCATTTAAATCATTCCTGTTTTGTTCAGTGGGAGCGATGCTCTCAATGGGGTTGGTAACTGTGTTCTGGTGGATGTTTGCTCTGCTGGGTGTGAAGATGACAATAGTTCTGCTAATAGGATTTACAATGGGGTGTTTCCATTTCAAGACAGACATGTTTCTGTTTGCAGTTTTTATTCTGATACTTCCATGTTGTTGTGTATTTATTGGTTCTATCATTTTAGTTTTATAAATGGCACTAAATGTGGACCTTGAGAAAATAAACTCTTAAAACCAACCCGTAAGAGTGTGAAGGTTTATTTGTCTACTAATAAACATCCGACATTAGATATTCATCACAGTGTCATTTTTTAGTCATCTCATACAGGGGTAGAAAACATTATCCTATTTCTTTAAGTTTTTGGAATGAAATGGCCAATTCATTGTGTTACTAAAATTAATTTCATACAATTTTTAAATGCATACAAATTATATTTTAACACTGATTGCATAATTTTGCATAAAACATAATGAATTTTTCTATGGTGCATGCATTAAAATAGAAAAAATACTTCCACGCTTTGCATTTAACATTACATTGTATAGGTTATCTCATGTAGATGCAACCAAATGCCTCAAATGAATAATAATAATATTACGCTTTTAAAAAAAAATTAAATTCTGCAGATATTAGAATCTACAATAGTGTATCTTAATTTAAAGAACGTAATTGTTTATACTGTTTTTACACTGGTTTTGCCATGTTCTAGTTTTATGTAGCATTACTGTTTGGATTGTTAACAGTAATTTTCACCCCACCTCCCCGTTGGATGTTATATGGCGCGGGACACGTCCGGGAGGGGGGAGTCATGTCAGACTTTTTTCCGTGTTTTGTGTGTGTTTAGCTCCCCATGTGCCTTCCATGCCCATATTTGGTCCTTCCCGTTCCTGTCCTTATCTGTTCCAGGTGTCTCTCTTCCAGCTTCTCACGATGATGAGGTGAGGATCCTGATGGTGGGAAGCCGAGGTCAGTCCAGATTCAGTGCTGCAGATCTTCTGTCAGGAAGGAAAGACAGTGGACAGGAGGACAGAGAGATTGTAAAGACTCCAGTAATTACAGACGAGGCTCGTAGAATGATGCTGATCACTGGACCAAACCTCTGTGAGGAGGACACAACGAGACAGACCTTCACAACAGCGCTGTTTCTCTCGTCTCCTGGACCTCACGCCGTTTTAATGCTCCTGAATCTGGAAGATCAACAATCACAACAGTGTGATATTGTGAAACGAGCCCAGGAGCTGCTGGGAGCAGAAGTCCTGCAGTACTGCATTGCTCTTCTGCTCCAAAATCACCAGGAACGTTTCACAGGAGCGTCCAGAGGGATTGCTGGAGAAATGATCAACGCATGTGGAGGAAGATTTCACATCATAAGAGACTCTGAACCAAAACCTGCTCAAAGAGCAGCTCTCGTAGCAGAAATACATAAGTTAGTTTGGCTCAATGATCACAGATTTCAATCAGTATTGACCCAACAGCTACGGTCAGAAAGGATGGAGTTTTTAAAAAAACTAAGTGAAATAGACGACAAACTTGGAGAAAGTCAGGTCTCATCTGCAATGCGTGACAGTTTAGGAGTGGTCGGATGGAGTCTGATCATTTCACTGATTGCGGTTGTTTTGGCTACTGAACAAAAGCACACAATGTTAATTTTTGTGGCATCTTTAGCTGGACTCGTGACATTTATGGCGTCTTTAAGAAATGCTTTGAGTCCACATGTTGCTTTTGCACTAAATTTGGCTCTGTGCTCCACAGTTGCAGCTGCCTTTATAAAGTATCTACCAATTCGCAAGTCAAGTAACAAAGAAAAAATCGGAACAGAGTTTATATTTACAGTAGGTTTAGGAATAACCCTTGGATCAATCACTAGCATAAGGACTTTGTCTGATGTTTTTATTGCATGTTGTGCTGCTTTTGGAGTCACGATTGGAACTTATGAATTCTTAAATTCATCATTGGATCTCCAAAAACTAAATGTTAGAGAAATATTGCTATTATTTCTGTTTTGTGCAGTGTGTGCTGAACTCACAGTGTTGTGTGTGATTGTGCTCAATGCACTGTTTGGAGTGACGCTTACAATAATTCTGCTAATAATCATGACTGCAATTGCAGTGTTCAAATTAGAGCCCACCATGCAGGACACTGCAATCGACTTAGTGTTGGTTCCATGTGGTTTTGTGTTTACTGCTTCAGTTGTTCTGATATTAGAGATGTTGTTGAGTTTGCTTAAAGTATATATGGAATACTTCCTAAGTTCTTTCTGGTTTTATCCAGCATTACTATTGGGTTCTTTAATGCTGATAATACAGTTCAGAAAACCCCTGAAGAGGATCAAATAAAACAAAACGTCACAACTGAGCAACTCACAAATGTCCTGGAAGCCGTTCTCTTTTTAACTCAAGTTGATAAAGTTTATACCAAACATTGTGAGACCAAACCCAGACTTGTTTGCTTTTGTCAACTTAAAATTGACTACATGTGACTTGCTTTGTGAGAAAGATCTGAGATTAAATGATGATATTAACCAAGACAAAACTAAATAGGCATAGTGACTGTAGAATTTCACATCTCATCTTCAGGTTAGTATCCACTCTCATCCACTATTTTGCCATTTAATATGTTCAAAAACTAGTTACATTTATACATTTGGCAAATGTTTTATCCAATGCAATTTCTTTATCTGTTGATACAGTTCTTCCTACAGTATATAGTACCCGCACTAATTCACAGTTTTAATTTTCCCTTTTATGCCGTGTTCACGTTGCACAATTTTTAAAGTCATTGGGTCGCTGTTCTTCTCACACTACACGAGTGACTGGGGTGTCATTATTTGCTGTTGTGTGCACATTACACAAAAGATCAGTGTCAGGGGATGTCACACATTACACAACTTTTCAATAGGAAGAATCGTTGACAACTCTCTGGTCTACAAAATACGATTCACAACCAAACACATGCGAGAAGGGATACTGGAAATAACTATGGAAGCAGACGGGGCCAAAAGTCTTTAAATGGAATGCATGGAATTCGAGCGTGTCAACACGCACTATTTGTCCACAATTTTGAATGCATATCTTTTTTATGTGTAGACACGCATTCTGGCAGTATTAAAATATAATGTCTGATGTTTGCATACATGCATACCAGTTTACCATTACTACATCCTTCATGATTAAACATGATGTCTGATGATTGTATACATATATACCAACGTACCATTGTGTCACATATGCAAAAATATTCTCAAATGCAGCGATTTCATTGGCTGCTTTGTGGTTGCGTTAAGGCCGGACAAACAGTGCTTGTTGACACGGTCAAATTCCACGCGTTCTGCTTAAAAACTTTTGGCCCCGTCGGCCTTCCATAATTAACAGAAGATCACATGTGAGACAGGAGTTTTTGGGCAAAACTGGATTTTTACGAGTTAAAAATAGTTAAAAATCATTTTCTATTTCAGTTTCTCATGATGATGTTTCCTACTTTCACTTACTGTTCTTGTTATTTACACCAAAGGAAAAAATTGCAACAACTTAATTTTATGGGGTAAAATGTACATATTCTGACTGACTGAATTAGGATTTTACTCTTATAAAAAAAAATTACCATTGGTCTTTCATAATATCATACATTTGTAGATCATGAACCATGCATCCCTGACAAAAATAAACCATGAATTTACTACTACTACTACAATAAAAAAAGGTAAACCATGATAACCACAAATTAACCATGGTTTTGCTACACTAACCATAGCTTAACCATGGTATTATAGTAAAACTGTGGTTATACAATTTTTAATCAATACGGCAAAACAAAAAAACACAAAAAAACATGGTTACTACACAAATTACTACAATAAAACCATGATTAATTTTCGTAAGGGATTGCGCCTAAATACCACGGTAAGATGTATGGTTTCAATGGTATTTGTAATGAAAAACAGTAGGCCTAGTTATAAATAGGCTACAAATGCACAAAAACAGCTTAACAACAACAACAAAAAACACTGCAGGCTAATTACATTACTGCATTAAACCATTTAAAACACGTCTACATTCATAATGTGTTAGTAATATCCCCACCTTTCTGCCATAATACCATAATTAGAGTTTATGTGATTACAATTAATCCTTTAATGTTAGTAATTTGTGGATTTAAACGGGATCGTTTCTACACAATGTTTCTCCTGTTTTACACGTCAGGGATGTTGAGAATCTCAGCGCTGTTTCGTCTGGTTTCAAGCACGTATAAATCAATAGTTTGTGTTTTGTATCGGAGAACTATTGTCTCAGATGCTTCACACTGGATCTCACAGCTCTGTTTATAACTGTCACGTGACTGATAGCGGTCAGTATTTGCTCTGCGCTTTCTTCCGGTTCAGAGTTGTGCGGTTTCGTTCCGCTTTTGCCGTTTAAATGCTTCTCATACACAACACAAATGGCAGCGCCTATCTGGCACCCGTTCGATCGCTAACACAAGTCTCACTAGAAAAAAAAACATTTCCAAATAACTTGTCAAACTGGTTTAATATCTACTCTCAGCTCGAACGCTGACTTGTGGAGCGTAGTTGTTTTTAGCAAAACAAAAGACAGGACAGAACTACACATATAGCGTTTTCTAAACTAACTGGTTGTAAGTAAAACCTTATTTATATTCTTAGTTTTGTTGATAGGGTAACTTGAGTAACAGGCTACATTTATTTGGCTTTAGGTTGTACGATGAAATTGACCAACACAAAACCCATCTTGCTCTTCACACTGATTCTGCTATTTCACACTGTACAAGCAGAAGGTAATGTACCTGCTCATTAATGTCAGTATTTTGGTGGCTTGTTTTCAAAGAATACCTTTTTTACTCAATTTTTCTTGCTTTGCATGATGGCTTCACACATTATTTCAGCTTCTCATGATGATGATGAAGTGAGGATCCTGGTTGTAGGAATCAGAGGTCAGTCCAGATTCAGTGCTGCAGATCTTCTGTCAGGAAGGAAAGACGGTGGACAGGAGGACAGAGAGATTGTAAAGACTCCAGTAATTACAGACGAGGCTCGTAGAATGATGCTGATCACTGGACCAAACCTCTGTGAGGAGGACACACGTTTCACAGGAGCATCCAGAGGGATTGCTGGAGAAATGATCAACGCATGTGGAGGAAGATTTCACATCATAAGAGACTCTGAAGCAAAACCTGCTCAAAGAGCAGCTCTCGTAGCACAAATAGAGAAGTTAGTTTGGCTCAATGATCACAGATTTTACTCAGCATTGACACAAAAGTTAGAAACAGAAGAAACCATTCAAGATGTGCATGAAGAAAATCAAATGCTCTCTGAAAAACATGACAATTCAGCAGAAACTGCACGATGGATTTTACTCATTTTACTGAACACAGCTTTTATTTTTACTAAAGTAAGGCATGAGCATTTTCAATTTGCGGAAATACTATTTGTACTTGTTATTTTTATGGTCACTTTAAGAAATATTCTCAATCCGGATGTTGCCGTTCCTTTAAATTTGATCCTATCCTCCACTTCCACAGTAGCCGCTGCGTATCATGACTTTGCAAATTCACGACATGGACACCAAATCATAATGTTTTTAGTCATGATCTTTACATTTCCCAGTATAGTGTTCATAGCAGGTCTAGGACTGACTGTAGGAACAGCTGTCAGTGTACAGACGTGGTCAGATGTGCTTATAGCGTGCCATGCTGCTCCCGGGGTCACATTCGGGGCTCATTTATACACTATTTACTCCATTATACCGGATCAAATGCAAGCTCGGACAACTCTAGTCTTTGCATTCAAGTTATTCCTGTTTTGTTTTGTTGGAGTGACGCTCTCAATGGGGTTTGTGACTGTATTTGCTCTGTTTGGTGTGGAGACAGCAATATTTCTGCTAATATTAGGATTTACAAAAGCGTTTTTCCATTTAAAGAGTGATGCTGTGAAATTTGTTGTTTTTTTCCTGATTTTTCCGTGCTGTTGTGTATTTATTGGCTCTTTAATTTCATTTATATGCTGTATATTATTTCATTATATTTTTACAGTAATTTGAAGCCGGTAATAGTGACTAAATCAAAAGACACTGACAGGTTTTTGGATCTAAACAAATTAAAGGAGTAGTTCACCACAGAATTAACATTTCCTGATTATTTACTCACCCCATGTCATCCAAGATGTTCATGTCTTTCTTTCTTCAGTCGAAAAGAAATTAAGGTTTTTGTGGAAAACATTCCAGGATTTTTCTCCATATAGTGGACTTCAACAGGGACCACTGGGTTGAACGTCCAAATTGCAGTTTCAGTGCAGCTTCAAAGGGCTCTACACAATCCCAGCCAAGGAATAATCTATTGAAACAATCTGTCATTTAAAAAAAATTAAATAATAATTCTATATTTTGTAACCACAAATGCTTCGACTGAAGAAAGAAAGACATGAACATCTTGGATGACACAGGGGTGAGTAAATTATTAGGAAATTTTAATACTGGAGTGAACTAATCCTTTAATGCCGATACTTTCAGATAATATTCAGTCTTACAACACACTTTTCACACTAGTTTATTTAATTTGTTTACTGACAAATGATTAATGTTAGGTATACATGCATCCCAGGAAAATCCTGTTATTATTTCTGTAACATCCTGAACATTTACCTCACAATGTAATTTCTGCCACAATTCAAATTATGTATTGTTTAATAGTATTCTGAGGTGGATTTAAAAAAAAAAAAAATATATATATATATTTACTGGAATAATATGGCTAATTCATTTGTCTTGCTAAAGCTATTTTCATAGTAAGCATTTTATGTATGTAAATAAACATATTAAAGAATATTTTGACACTTTATACATAATTTTGCATAAATAAAACAAATTACTGAATTCTCCTGTTATGCATTTATATTCATTTTTTTTAACCATTCATTATTTAATATTCACTCATTGTTTAGATCTTATTTGCTAGTAGCATAGCAGTTGCTACCATCTACTAAAACATCAGCTGGACAAATGAACGAAGACAATCACTGTAACAGTCTGCAGTCGCTCTGGATAAAGACGTCTGTTAAATGTCCACTTACTTCCTCTGCAGACAAACCAATGCAGTTTTACTGGAAATAATTCACATGATTTTAACCAGCGGTGCAGATCAGATGTTCTCATCTGGAGATTAAACTGCAAATAAACATAAAACAGAAAGTATAAAACTTGCAAATATTTCTTAACAAATAGTAGTTGTTCATCAGTGTCATATCAGAACCCACTAAATCATGCATCTCCATCATCAAGATTATTAAGAGCTAATAAAATACTATAGTACATATTAAAACATTGCTGCATATTAAGTGTTTTTAAAGCATACGAAGATCTAGTGAAGTCTAGAATCATTCTGGATTAATTTTTTACTGCTGTCAGCTTTCAATAACTATGCCAAGTCATATTGTTGATTCTTAAGAGTATTTTAATTATGTTCTACAAAACCACTTATAATAACTCAGGTATTTGGGAGCTACAGTGTGTAAACTGTGTTTCTTCAATGTTAAGTCGAACATTTATAAGGGTTGTGCAAATATTTCTTAACAAATAGTTGTTCATCAGTGTCATATCAGAACCCACTAAATCATGCATCAGGGGTTGTTGTCTTTGTGAATGATTTGGTTGAACATATCCTCCTGTTTTTCCCTCTTTCACAGGATTTTCTGCAGTCTCCCACACATGCTGTGGTTGGGCATTTTGATACTTATTTCTTATGTAAAGATGTTTTAAAGGTCTTAAAGGAGTAAGCAGCTCCTAAACCATGTTTTTCTTTTAGATGGTCAGAGACGGAGTGGAAAATGGTCAATTATTGCTGAATTATGACTTGTTTTGGTGCAAAACAATTTTACTAACATTGTAAGTGGCCCTCAGGGGGAAAAAATAAAATAAATTAGTATAAATTAAAGTCAGAATCTTGCTTGGATTCGTTTGTTTTTGTCAAGTAGAAACTAACTCGCTTCAAGAGACAGACAGACCAGGTTAAAAAATTAAATTGTCCAAGAGAAAATCAAACTGGCTTCTAATATTGACTCCTGCATTTCACATCTCATCTTCAGAAGGTTAGTATCTGCTCTCTTCTACTATTTAGCCAATAATGAGATTTTTTTATTTTTATTAATTTGACTATGATTCCTGCGTAAACTTTAATTACAATGCATTATATACATTAATGCATTTGGCAGATGCTTTTATCTAATGTGACTTATTATCAGTTTATGTGTTCTCTGGTAATTGGACCCACAATGATGGCATTTTAACACCATGATTCTTCTTCTGATTTAAAAAATACAACCTTTCAAATAATTTTGAGCAAATACAAAAACAGAGACACTGTATATCAGCAAAAGGCTAAAAACTATATATTTATCTATATTACCCAGCCCTAATTCACGCAGCTAGTTTCATTTTCCCTTTCAGCTGTTCAGCAAGCTTGCAGTGACATACGCACTGTAAAAACAGATTTTTATGAAGCTGTAAATAAAATGCTCCGGTTACTAACGTAACCTCGGTTCCCTGAGATAAGGGAACGAGCGTTGCGTATAACGCATTGGGGAAAATTCCTGTTTTACTCTGTACTGAAGCCTGATTTTTTCACGTTTGTGTAGCTGCACAAACCAATGGCGCTTTAGCCCGCCAGAAAGGGTGGAGCCGACCACTATATAAGTCGGCTCGGAGCGCCATTCATCAGATCATTTGACTGAAGCGACAGTCATCGATTCACGTGCAGTTTAGAGTGCGGCAAGTGACGCAACGCTCGTTCCCTTATCTCAGGGAACCGAGGTTACGTTAGTAACCGGAGCGTTCTCTTTCGAACGGTCTCTCCCATGGCGTATAACGCATTGGGGAATGCGTCCAATCACGCTGCGCTATGAGCAGATACAGAAAAATCGGTCCTGCGAGCCCAGTCTCCGAGCACTAGACAAGGACTCCCAAGAACATGAGCACACTTTGTGCTACAAGCTAGTAGCTGATAAGCACAAATATAACCAACTTCGCCCAAGGGGGAAGAATGGCAGTCTAAACAGAGAGAATCCGTGCCTGTAGTGCAGGGACATCCAAATGATAAAATCTGGCAAATGTGGACAGCGACGACCAGCTGGCGGCCGCACAAATCTCACCAATAGAAATCCTGCTGGACCATGTCGAGGAGGAGGACATCCCCCTTGTGGAGTGGGCCCTCACACCTATAGGGCATTGCAAGTCTTCTGAGGCGTAAGCCAAGGCTATCGCATCTACAATCCAGCGAGAGAGTCGCTGCTTTGTGGCCGGCAGTCCCTTCTGGCGGCCTGCAAAGCAAACAAAGAGCTGCTCTGACTGCCTAAACAGGCTAGAGCGCTCTAAATACAGTCGCAGTGTCCTTACTGGACAGAGCAAGTTAGTACCCTGCTCACCATCTGTAACGGGGAGCGCCAACACCTGTGCTCTGAACCGAGTTGAGAGCACTTTAGGAACATAACCATGGTATGGTTTCAGGACGACCTTACAGTCGTTAGGTCCAAACTCAAGACATGAGGCGTTAACTGACAGCGCTTGCAAGTCATTCACTCGCTTAACCGAGCGGCTCTCAAGAACTTAACGACCAAGTCGTTTCTGCCGACTGATTGGCCAGCTTTGCGAGAATGGTTCGCTGTGATAGCTGCCACATACATTTTGAGCATGGAAGGGGCGCGCCCCTTATCCAACAGCTCCTGTAAAAAGGTTAGCACGTGGGACACGTTACATGATACCGGGTTCAGACTACGTGCAGAGCACCTGTTAAGGAAGACCGACCATTTTTGGCTGTAAATGCGTCTTCTCGCCTCTAAAATGGTATTGCTTACTCTCGCTGGGAGCTGATTAGGCTCCTGTCGAGGTACCATACATGAAGGCTCCACAGCTCTGGCCGGGAATGCCAAATCATGCCTTTCGCCTGCGAGTGAAGATCCGTCCTAAGGCGGAATGGACCATGGGGCTGCTGCTGAGAGCTGCACTAGCTCTGGGAACCAGGCTTGGTTTCTCCAGAGCGGGGCCACTAGGAGGAGTGAGCACTTGGTCTCCCTGACCCGCCTGGCGACCTGAGAAATCAGGGCGATCGGGGGGAAAGCATACAGGTGAGCACTGGGCCAGTTGTGGGCCAGAGCATCTCGCTGTATCGAAAAGTATGTTGGGCAGTGAGAGTTGTCTTCTGAGGCGAAGAGGTCGACCTCTGCCTTCCCGAAGACAGCCCAGATTTTCAGAACCGTTTGAGGATGTAGCACCCATTCACCTGGGGCTACATTGTCTCTGGACAGCATATCTGCGCCAAGGTTCAACCTGCTCGTAACATGAACCGTCCTTAACGAGGGGAGTTCTTTCTGTGCCCATAGAAGGAGGCGTCGAGCCATCCTGTAAAGGGAGTACGATCTGAACCCGCCCAGGCGATTGATGAAAGCCACCACTGGCATGCTGTCCGACCGGACTAAGACGTGGTGCTCCCTCAAGGTCGGCAGGAAGGTTTTCAGGGCTAGGAAAACTGCCAACATTTCTAGGCAGTTGATACAGTATGTAGGCACTGCTCCGGGGCTGACCAGGAGCCGGACGCCAGATTGCCCTCCAACAGGGCGCCCCAACCCGAATTGGAGGCGTCCGTTGTAACCACCTTCCTTCTGGAGGTCAGACCCAACCGCATGCCTGTTTGAAACAGGTGGGGGGTTGTCCAGGGAACCACAGCTTTATCACAGCAATGGTCTATCCTGACACGAAGCCGTCCCAGGCGCCAGACGTGGGGTGGAACATGGGCTTTGAACCAAAATTGAAGTGGCCGCATATAGAGCAGGCCCAGAGGTATCACAGAGGCGGCGGCCACCATGAGACCGCGCAGCCTCTGAAAAACCTTCAAAGGATGTGTCACCCCGGGTTTGAAGGATGGCGTCAATCGCTGAATGGTCAGGGATCATTCAGAGGGATTGGTTTGGGCTCCTCGCCAGAACCTTCCCACGCTCCTGCGTCTGACGCCGCCAAGGACACAGAGTCGTCGGTGGTGATGTCATCTTAGGTGAGAAAGGAAACGGGAGAGTTGAGCGGGGAGGAGACAGGAAAGGCTGAGACTCTCGCAATGAGGGGTCCTTGCACGAGCCACACTCACGGCGCGACATTTGCAACAACACGCGCTGAGATCTTTTAGGAAATTTGCTCTTGCCCTTTAAGCACCAGATGGCCGAAGGGAAAACTTCTCTACCGGGGCTCTTCGACAGCGGTGAGTAGGTGGAGCTTCTTCCTTCGGCCTCCTTGCAGAGTCAGCGAAGAGATGATCCTCGTCGCTGAAGGAGAATGGTCTGATGAATAGCACTCCGAGCCGACTTATATAGTGGTCGGCTCCACCCTTTCTGGCGGGCTAAAGCGCCATTGGTTTGTGCAGCTACACAAACGTGAAGAAATCAGGCTTCAGTACAGAGTAAAACAGGAGTTTTCCCCAATGAGTTACACACAATGGGAGAGACCGTTCGAAAGGGAACAAAAGTTATTGGATTACATTTTACAAGAAAATACTATATCAGTTTTTTTCTAATTTCACATTTAATTTAATGTGATTTAATGTGTTTGCAGGTTTTTTGTTTATTATTTGTGAAATTTAATAGCAATTTCTGAGTGACAATAGTTGTAAAGTAAATCATACACCACATATTTTAGCATAAGGATCAATGCTATTTGGCATCATTGATGCACTGCAAATACCTTTTCTTAATCAGTATTTGTCTTCTTTTCAAGCAAAAATATCGAAATGTCCTTAAATAACAAGGCCACTAAAGACTTGTTTTCAGAGAACATACTGTATCTTTGATTATTTTTCTTACCCCACTTGCAAATTGGTTTTCTTTGCATGGTTTCACTTTCTCTTTCAGCTTCTCATGATGAGGCTCTGAGGATCCTGGTTGTGGGAATCAGAGGTCAGTCCAGATTCAGTGCTGCAGATCTTCTGTCAGGAAGGAAAGACGGTGGACAGGAGGACAGAGAGATTGTAAAGACTCCAGTAATTACAGACGAGGCTCGTAGAATGATGCTGGTCACTGGACCAAACCTCTGTGAGGAGGACACAGCGAGACAGACCTTCACAACAGCGCTGTTTCTCTCGTCTCCTGGACCTCACGCCGTTTTAATGCTCCTGAATCTGGAAGATCAACAATCACAACAGTGTGATATTGTGAAACGAGCCCAGGAGCTGCTGGGAGCAGAAGTCCTGCAGTACTGCATTGTTCTTCTGCTCCAAAATCACCAGGAACGTTTCACAGGAGCGTCCAGAGGGATTGCTGGAGAAATGATCAACGCATGTGGAGGAAGATTTCACATCATAAGAGACTCTGAAGCAAAACCTGCTCAAAGAGCTGCTCTCATAGTGGAAATAGACAAGTTGGTTCATCTCAATGAACACAGATTTTACTCAGTACTGACACAAGATTTAGAAACTGAAGAACCCATTCAAGATGTGCATGGAGAAAATCCAGTCTTGTCTTTAATATATGACACTTTAGGCGGAACAGCTGGAATTGTAGGATGGATTTTCCTTGTTTCACTTACAGCTTTTGTTATTTACACTGAAGGAAAGGACATAATATCGATTTCTGGGGCAGCATTTACTGTGCTTGTATTGTTTATGGTCTATCTAAGAAATATTATGAGTCCAGATCTTTCCATACCACTAAATTTGTCCTTATTATCATCACTAGCAACTGTACTTACAGTAGATCCCACAGTGATTGATAAATTTGAGTTTAACAGGATGAGTCAAGACAACAGATTTATCATTACAGATATCTTAATATATTGTGTCAGGTTGCTAATACTTCCGCACGCTATAATGATGTGTTTTATGTTTATGGTGGGTTCAGCTTTGATCTTTGGGACAATCATCATCATCAGAACGTGGTCAGATGTGCTCATAGCATGTTACGCGGCTCCTGGGGTCACAGTCGGGGCTTTTGCATTCTCATGTTGCAATAAAATCATTAGTCGTAAACTTTCAATACACGCACTAGGGTCGTTTCTGTGTTGTACCATCGGGGCCACACTTTCAGTGGGGTTTGTGAATGTGTTTGGTGGGATGATTACAATAATTCTGCTAATATCAGGATTGACAATGATGTATTTCCATTTAAACAATGAAATGCTAAAGATTGTATTCTGGTTAACTATTCTTACACTGTTGTTTTCATGTGCTTGTGTGCTCATTGGTTCAGTTATTCTGTCAATTTTAGGGTTGATAGTGAGTTTTCTCAAAATAATAATAGAAAGCTTGCTCAGTTCTTACCTGTTTTATGTAGCATCATTGCTTGGTTTGTTAATAGTAATTTGTCAAGGGCAGACTGCATTAGTCTAGTTTAAATCACAAACAGCAACTAAATCACAAATAACTCATAATTATGTATATATTTTACTTATAATTGTTGGTAAGACCCTCTATCTCTGGTTGAAAATGTGTTAAATGTCCACTTACCTCCTCTGCAGCTCTGCAGACAAACCAAAGCAGTTTTCAGATCATGTTGCTGTTGTGATTTAACCTTGTCTGGAGATTTAACTGCAAATAAAAATACAATTTTGTGTATGAAACTTACAAATGTTAACAAGTAATATAAGACTATTAAGAGCTGATCGAATACAGAAATGCTCATTAACACATTGCTGTGTATTGAGTTATTTTATATCTAGTATATATATTTTGGCAACTAATGTATACTAAGCATAAGATTATTAGTATAAATACATAAAACATAAATAAGCTTTAGTATATTAAGCTTTTGGAATCACTAAAATTACACGCGTTTAAGCTTGTTGTGCACAAATAAAACTATACTATAGAAATTCACTTGCTTATTTTTCTTTCAAGCAGTCCTTAAAGGGGCCATATGATGCGATTTCAAGCTTTCCTTTCTCTTTGGAGTGTTACAAGCTCTTGGTGCATAAAGAAGATCTGTAAAGTTGCAAAGACTAAAGTCATTTGAAAAATAATGTGTTTTTTGAACATTAAAGCATGTCAACATATTCTGTTACACCAAATACACAAAATAATGATCTTTAAAATAGCATCATATGACCCCTTTAAGTATTTCTTCTTGCTGAGTAAATGTGTTTAAATCCTTCAAATATTTTAGCAGAAAACTGAAATATGTTTAATCCTGTTTTCTTTAAACATCACATCAAATGTTATTACAACCCTAGTTCCAAAAAAGTTGGGACGCTGTATAAAATGTACATAAAAACACAATGCACTGACTTGCAAATTTCATAAACCCACATGTTATTCGCAATAGCACATAGAAAGCATATCAAATGTTTAAACTGAGGAAATGTACCAGTGTGTGCATGAAAGTGTGAGGTTCACAGCCAGAGTTAATCATAAACTCACAATCAACCCCTGAGTTGATAAAGAAAGTTTATCGCAAGCATTGGGAGGCCAAACCCAGATTTGTTCGCTTTTGTCAACTTGAAATCAACTGAATGTGACTCGTTCTATGAGAAAGACCTCACATTAAAAGATGAAATTAACCAAGACAACACTAAACAGGCTGCTCATATTGACTCTAGCATTTCACATCTCATCTTCAGAAGGTTAGTATCTGCTCTCTTCTACTATTTAGCCAGGAATTAATGTTTTTATAAATTTTATAATGTAAACTTGATTTCTTGCAGAAATGTCAATCAAAAAAAAAAAAAGCCATTTATGTTTGGTAAATGCTTTTATCCAATGCAACTTATCTTTTATTAATTGATACAGTACAGTACACAGTATAACGCCCAGTTTCCCTTTGAGCTTCTCAAAAAACTTGCCATGTCACTGTCTTCTGATGGATGGAAATGTTATTTTTAGTCTAGTAATCCTGTTTTCTCCTGCTGGTCACTTCAGCTATTTTGGATTAAAGTATTGAGCTCTGAAACTGTTTTTATAGTACAATGATCTCTTGTACATTAAAAAGATCAGCGAAAATTTGATTTCTCAATTCATGACCCCATTAAAACAAAGATAAATTGACTTGAGAAGCAAAAATAATATGATTTGTTTTCAGCGAATATATTTTAGCTTGTGTTTCTTACCCCACTGACACTGATGGTTTCACTTTCCTTTTCAGCTTCTCATGAAGATGAAGTGAGGATCCTGGTTGTAGGAATCAGAGGTCAGTCCAGATTCAGCGCTGCAGATCTTCTGTCAGGAAGGAAAGACGGTGGACAGGAGGACAGAGAGATTGTAAAGACTCCAGTAATTACAGACGAGGCTCGTAGAATGATGCTGATCACTGGACCAAACCTCTGTGAGGAGGACACAACGAGACAGACCTTCACAACAGCGCTGTTTCTCTCGTCTCCTGGACCTCACGCCGTTTTAATGCTCCTGAATCTGGAAGATCAACAATCACAACAGTGTGATATTGTGAAACGAGCCCAGGAGCTGCTGGGAGCAGAAGTCCTGCAGCACTGCATTGTTCTTCTGCTGCAAAATCAGCAGGAACGATTCACAGGAGCCTCCAGAGGGATTGCTGGAGAAATGATCAACGCATGTGGAGGAAGATTTCACATCATAAGAGACTCTGAACCAAAACCTGCTCGAAGAGCAGCTCACAAGATACTCAAACACTACAAGAAATAGAGAACAAACTTAAAGAAGAGACCAGTCAAAATGTAAATGAAGTAAATGAAGA